TGTTTTTTATTTGACATTAATACCTTTAGGAATAAAGAGATCTAACCTCTGTTTTAAGCGTTTATAAATGATCTGCTTAAGATGGATTGAAGACATTTGCTTTAAAACTATAATTTCTTTATAAAGTCTCCTAAAAGTTGGTTCTTATGCAAGAAGAACTGCATTTTTAACCTATTCTAGTTCTAATTATTGTATCCAATGAAAAAATAAGTGGGGTGAGGGGTCGAAGGTAGTTATCCACCAAGCCATGAGTTTGTAGAAAAATGAAGCAGAGTCGACGTAAAAGTCAGGGTAAATAAATCTATTTAAACATAATTTAAAGAAGAATTCAACACTTAACCCATAATAATTCATCGTTCAGTCATTATTACCAATCCATATCGGGCAACTCATCATTGGCTTATCGGCTACCGGTGCTCAAAACCGCGATTGGCCAATACTAATCTCGTTCTTATCAAGAGGACAATTTTGCAATATCGGGAATATTATTATGAGTATAATAGAATATATATATAAATGAGAATTGAATATTTGATTACTTTACATATCTCATTTAAAAGATAAGTCTTGAGAAATATGTCTGGCTATAAGCCAGATGCCTGTCTTCTTGTCCATTGGGTCGATAGAAGTGTGTATTTGCCATTAAACAGGCAAGTTCTAGCATAAAATACCGTTTAGCTAAGTCATGAATAAAATTTAACTATATATATATATTTGTACAAAATAAAGAACAAAATATGGCAACGCAAACGCATGTCTAGTAATAAAATATAATCCACACATCACAAGCTAGTCTAATATTCAGTTATGAGAGGCGAAGTCAGAACAAAGACTTGATAAGTAGAATGTCATTTTTACATCTACATCAAAGTGCTACTTTTACATAGCCCAATTATTAAAACAAAGGAAAATGCTAAACGAAAAAATTGCTGACGTTAGCCTGGCCAAAGATAGCAGAACAGAAGTGTCTAAAACCAATGAGCTAGGAGTCCATAGAGGCTAAACTTAGACTTGGATAAAAGGACCGTTTTAAGACAATGCCATAAAGCGAATAAGGAAAGGGGAAGATTATAGTGACTAAACAAAGATATTAGGAAATTCCAGAACAATAGAAAGTTTTCATTAAGGCCAGGTAATGATCAGTATCTAAAACAAGATCTAAAAATATAGCTTCCATAATAATAAAACCTTAATTTATATTAATATTACAACAATACTATTGTGGTAAAATGAGATTTGGTTTCGCTTTAAATCGAAAAATCGAGATCGCTTATTGATTTTTATCGAGCTAGCCATGACTCGCAAGCCTGCTCCCGAACGTTAATGCCAGTAAGATTAGATTAGACACCTCAATACTAAGACATAAGACATGCATAGCCTTAACGAAATATAAAAAAATACATAACATGTAATGGTCTAATAGTAGTCACGAAAATTCGTTTATAGACGAAAAATAAGTACTGTGGTCGATTGCAGTTGCAAATACAACTTTGCTTCATCACAATTTAAATACAGAATGTGATATGGGAAAATGTCTGGCTTTCCCTGAAAGTTGCATCCACTTGTGACTCAAGGGCACTTGCGGCAGTCTGTCGTAGTGGGTAACGTTTCGAGATTAAGCGCTACATTGCCAAGCCGGATTCGAGTCCCATATGGAGGGCTGATGAGACCTAGATGAGGTCGAAATGGCAGTCCACCTTAGATAAGAATACCTTGTGGGGGGCCGTCTGAATAAAATTTAATGTAAGCCTAAGTTCCACATATATAATTAAGGAAAAATTCAAATAACAGGTTTTTATAGCCTTAACGGAATAGGGTGAATAAATCTCATGCAATAAACTGTTTCTTGCTATGAGCTATCAGAATAAATCATTTAAACAACACAAAGTTATGAGTTATGTTCACAATATTTCGTTTAAAGTGATAAAGGACTGGTAATTGAATTTTCCCACAATGATATGAGTAAAGCTGACGCTTCCATTGAATTTCACATAACCTTGTTTCCCTAAAAGGTGTTTGCATTCAGGGTGGACTGCAGTTTCGAC